CCCCCCAGCATGCCCAAGGCATGGCATAATCATAATCTTGTGTGACTGTTGCACAGCCCACACTTGCCCCTCACTCGGGAGTTTTGGCCCTGTGCAGGTTTTTGGAGGTCTATTCTGCAGCCCTGACCATCACAGCAGAGATGCCAGAGTGTTGGAAAGATGCCAGACGATTCATCATGGCTCCATCCTTGCTCCAGGTCAGGTCTTGTAGGAGGGTGACACTCCTCCCTTCTCTCCTCCTCGTCCTACTCTGCACTCCTCTAAAGCTACGCACTGCCTCCCTTTGCCCTCTCCTGCTCATTGCAATGCAGCTCCTCAGGGAAAGGTGGTGGCAAAAGGCAGCAGTCAGCAGCTGGGATCCACCAGGCATTGCAGAGAAACCTGGGCAGAGACCAGGGCACCATGGGGACAGGGGACCTGGATGCCAGAAGTCCCACTAAGACCCCAGACCATGTCATGGAAGGTCTGCAGGGGGAACCATGGGGACCATGCTGGGGTTTGGCCTCAGATGGAGAGGGGAGCTGCACTGACCATTTTAGGGAGCTGCATGGGACAAGGCAAGCCACGAGGAAGTTTCCCCAGCGCACTCTGTGTGCACTGACCCCTGCAAGTCAGAGAGAGATTCTCTCTGTCCATTTACTTCCCCTCTCAACCACACATGAGCATCCAAGGAGCACCGGGCCCTCTACCGTCTTCTGTGGGAAGTGTTCCTGGAGCGCTTTCATTCATGTCCGTCTCAGCCACGGCTCATCCATCTGCTGAGAAGCCCTGCAGTACTTCCTCCTGCCTGTGCAAGTGCACGGGTGGGGGTCTCCTCCCTGCACACAGCCTGGGGCAGGCAGGGCTCCTGCTAGCACCCGGCACCCCCCTGGGTGTCATTCTTTGTGTCATTGCTCATTCCCCTCTGGGTCTGAACCTCACTGTGCTAGGTGCTGCAGGGACAGGTGACTGTCACCTTGAGCCCTGGGCTCCCCCTTGGGCTCCTTGCCCCGGGCAGGGGTCCAGGGCTCTGCAGTACCCTGTTGTGCTGCCCATGCTGGTAGCAACCACCTGAGGAGTGTGGGGCCCATTTCAAACCCCTCTGCATCTTCCTATTCAGCAGAAAGCCTCTTTTCTAGGCAGTGAGTGCAGGTGGTGGGGAAGAAGTCTGTTTCTGTTTTTGCCCAAGCCTGACAGCCTCTTTTTAAATTTTTTTTTTCCCTTAAGTGAAATGTATTCTTAAGTCTTATTTTCTTAAGTGAAATGCATGGGGTCAAGTAAACAGGCTACATGAGGTCTTCAGGGCAAGGGTGGGGGGATCACAAGCATCACTGCTGCAGGATGCCCAGGCAATGCCAACGCATTGCTGCTGCCCATGACTCCGACCCAGCCCCTCTGGCAGCACAGCTTCTAGACCACACTGGCTAAGAGCGCCTGCTTCCTTCTGCAGGGTAAACGAAGGCAAAAGTCTCTGCTCCCTCAGAAGGACTCCCTGGAAACCGGGATCACTTACTCTTTGCAGCTACAGATGAAGCCTCAAAGATGGCCCCAACTGGCTCTTTTCCCCTAGAAAAACAAGATGCAAACATTACTGTAAAATCAATAGGAAGAGGGACTCCAGACACACTCCCTCTACGAGCACAAGGGCTCAGACCCCTGTTTCCCCTGAACAGGGGAGGCTCTGCTGGCAATAATCAGCCTGCACCTACACTGTTCTGCTTCTCCCGAGGTGACTATGGGGAAACCCTGGCTGTGCACTGGGAGCTGGGGTTGTTATGTCCATGAAGGTGGGTTGCCTGTGCCCAGTGTGATGTGTGTCACACGAGCCTGGCAATGTATAGCAGCACAAATGGGGTACATGCTCCATCATCAGCAGAACCTCATCAGCAGACTGAACCTCCCTGGTGAACCCCCAGGGGACTGCTAAGTCTTTTCTTGAACCATTAGCCATCATTGTTTTCCCCAAACCTGCCTTTGGTGGTGATCAGAGTCCTGGCATAGCCACCTCCTGCTTACCAGACCTGGCAGAGATGGGTTCTTCTTGCACAGAGGGTCTTCCTAATGCCACAGCTCTTGGAAAGGAGAAAGCAAGTCTCCAAAGTCCCCCAGAAAGGCTGTGGCATCCAGCCCATCTGGTCTTCTCCTTGGGCTGTGGGACCCAAAGGGTTCATGTCCCTTCAGGGCTTGGTTGGTGGCCACCAACAGGTCCACCACAATCATCACCTCATCCCTGGTGGTCTAGTGGTCAGGATTTGGCATTCTCACTGCTGTGGCCTGGGTTCGATTCCCAGCCAGGGAAGGGGGCCACTGCAGGTCCCATCCTTTTCCTGGGTGGCTGCACTGCCCTCAAGCAGTTCCTGGGGTTCAGCATGGGGTTCAGGAGCTCCCACACCGACTGCATGGGTCTGGGTCAGGGTTGGATGAATTTTGGGGGGTTGCAGCAGCCTCCTGTCCCCCCACTGCCATCAGGCCACACCCCCCAGTGGAAAAATACTGCAGGTGGAGGGCAGCCTTGAGCCTGTGATGGGCTGTAGGGAGCAGGTTGACATGGCTGTAGGGAGAAGGGTGACAGGCTATAGGGAGCAGGGTGACCCAGCTGTGTGGGGTGGACACGCTATTGCAGATTTTCTTCTTGTGATATGGAGACGTGCAGCACTGCTCCCCTGAACACCGTCTTGACCCTCTCCTAAAGGTAAGGGCTCCCTGGGAGATCAGGGCCAGGGCCAGGGCGGGAATTCAGGGTCCCTTGAAGAGCTGTGACAGGTCTGTGACCATCTGTCCCTCCTGGGGACAGGAGGGCAGGGGCTGCCAGTAAAAGCTCCCGCTGTGAGCAGGATTTGAACCTGCGTGGGGAAACCCCATTGGATTTCAAGTCCAACGCCTTCACCGCTCGGCCATCACAGCAGCTTGCACAGAGGGCCTCTGCAGGAGCCCATGGCTGTTATCCTGACCCAGGGGCCACAACAAGACCTGATTCCACCCTGGACACAGGTTCTGCCATCTTGGCCCCTGCTGCACACCCAATACGGGTACTACTGTTACTGCTGTCACCTGCCCTGCACAGAGCTAAGGCTGATATGGAAATCAGTGCTGGGAAAGGGAACTGGGCACTAGTCACAACATATCAGTGGTGGAGACATGGGAGAGGGAGATGGTGGGAGGTCTATGTCCTATCTCGCCTCCTTGCATCCAACAAGAAACTTGTCCCTGGACAACCATTCCCAACCTCCTTTCCCAGTCTGGGAACATCCCACCCTCCTCCATCCCTTTCTCCCTATCCAGTATACATACATTTGCCTCTGTGAAAACAGGTCCAGACTTTGCTAACTGAGGCAGTCTGACATACAGTCCAGTCAGTGTTTTGTCCTGTAGCTGGCAGGATGATGTTGCAGACTTGTGTGGTTTTCACCAGATTACTGCCTGCCTTTTGGCTTTTGGAAGAGGGGATTTGAAGAAAGGAAGAGAAGGTGACTGTCAAGAGGAAATCCTTGCTGAGCGAGGTCTGGTAGTAACCTAGGTCTCTCTTTTGGAGCACGAAGGTCCTATATGGAGCAGTCCTAGAAGCACTTGCCTATGCCTGTTTTGGGTGGGAACTGGCTCTGGGAACCCATCCTGAGACATCCAGAGCCCTCTCTGGGTTCTCAGCATTACGCCCAAGAGCTGTGGAAGTGCTTTGCTATGTCACTGGCACCCCACCTCTCTCCCATGGGGATTTATCAGCAGGGTGTAGCTTGGATGAAAACCTCACCATGTAGGAACTATTCCCCCATGCTCAGCTCCCAGCCCAAAGGAGGGTCTGTCTGCACTGCCACCCTCCCCGGCCTCTGCCTCACTGGGTAGTTTGATTTCCCTTCTCTACTGGCCAGGGAGGAGCATAGTCCTGACACTGAGTCAGGCTTAGCACAGTCCCACAGGTACAGATGGATGCCCAGGTGTGGGTAGCCACCTGCTCAGATGCATCAATGTGTTGGAAACCAGGTGCTCAAACCAGCTCTGGACTCATGACATTGTGAGTAGAGAAAAGCCAGCAAATGTGATAGAGCTAAAGAGAGGGGTGAGTGGAGGGAATACTGTCTTTGGACAATTGTGGAGAGACTCAGGAGAAAGGTTAAGCTTAGTTAATCTGTTTCAGTTATACAGGTTTCCTTCTCCCTCTTCTAGGCTCCGTATTCATGTTCAGAGCTGGGAGATACATTCCCTGGGTCTCCTGAAGTGCCTGTGGGGTTCAGGTATGGCACAAGAGCGGAGAGCCTTCAGAGAAGGAAAGCCACTAACATCCTGATGGGCAGAGGTAATGAAGATGAGGTCTATGGTCTGGAATGAGCTGTTTCTCCTTACTCCTTTTGAGGATGAAGTACTGAGCGTTTGGTATCCAAAGAAGTCTGTTGAGGTGAGGTTTCATTTCAGGGTAAGGGTTCAAACATCCTTCACATGGCAAATGGAGGAACCTGGAGGGAGCAGACCAGAGTGTGTGGACTTGCACATTACTGGAGCCCAAAAGGAGGGCCATGGAGGGGTCCACAGTACATATGGAAAGGACGGGGGGGATCCAGACCCCAATGGAGGGACCTGGACAGCTGTGGTACCCAAACGGAGGAGCTTGGAGGGGACCAGAGCTTGAAAGAGAGGTCTGAAGGGGTTAAGGAAAGCAAAAGGTGTGGTCTAGAGAGCTCCAACACCCGGACAGAGGGTCTGGAGGAGACCATATCCTCGGCTGGTTCTTCCAGCCTGGCTGGACTCAGACTTCTATTGCACTGTCCAGAATTCCCACAATATTTCTCAGAGTTGGGTTTTTTTGTTGGTGTCCACACCCCCCCTCCCTCCCCCCCCCCCCTTATCTAATCTTGTGTCATTGACAATGAACACCGATTTTCATCTACAGTTCTTGTGATATTTACAGACAAAACAATCTTGCCTAGTAGAAACAACAGGATGTATTTATAGAAAAGTCTTAGTTCAACAGAGAACTGACAGCTCTTCTCTTGTAATAAATGGCACTTTTCCGTATTATGCAACATAGAAAACCACAAGATCTGTCATGAGACAGACCTTATTCTTCTTCAAATAAATGTTCAGACTGCTTCTACTTGCAAGTTTTCACCCTTTGATCGTCCAAATTTCAGAACATAATGACTGCCTTGCACGAGTGCTGGCTTTGCTGGACACAGCACACGGTGGTCACCATTCACTGCTGCATTCCATTACCTGATACAATGTTGAAGACACTTTGTCCTGACCATAAAACAGTGCTTAAGCATCTCACTGGTTGTAATACAATGGCATATGATGATCAACAGGAGACTACGCCACGTGCATTGTAAATACTAATGAACTACTCCAAGCTCTGACTGTACAAACATTCCAAGTGAACATGGTTAAGCATTGAATCAAACCCCAAAATTTGTGCTGGTTTTTTACATCTACTCATGTGTTCAGCCTCTCTAGAAATTAAGCTGTAGTCCAGGGAAAAGAGTTCACTGCAGCAAATGACTCCCATGTCTCCCAGTTGGTATGGCGTGATGAAAACTACAGTGAGTATCTAAAGCTTCTTCCACTCTCTCTTTGTTTAAATAGATCTCTGGAACTTTTGAAGCCATGTATTCTCCTAGTGCCTTTCTAGGGGCCTGACAACTGCTTCTGCTTTGATGTATGGTTGTGTTCCAGACTCCCAGATAAGATGGGAATGGGTTCCACAGCAGGAAAATAAAGTAAACTGGAAGAATGGAGAAATTTTCCTCCTGCTTGGCATAAACAGCAACTGAGGTCTCCTTCTAGACCTGTCAACTCGATCTCCAGGGAAGTCATCTCCCATACTCCAGCCTGAGCATGGGGGGTTACAGTCTGAAAGAAAAGTGGAAGGAATGGAAAGGGGGTTTTACTAAAAGATGGGGAGGAGTAAGTTTGAGTCATGAGGAGGAGCTGAAGATTTTATTCATGGAGAAGAGAAGGAGCTTGGTCCATGGGAAGAAGAAGAAAGGACCAGCTCCTGGGGAAGGAGAGTTGCTCACAAGAAAGAGGTGTGCTACCTGCTGCTGAGGACAGGAGTCATGTTTGGGCCTTGCATGGTCCAAACTGCATTTCCATGGATGGATGTGCAGTATCTTGTCCTGGTGGGTGTGGTGGGTCCTACCACTGTGCTGGAAAGTCACAGATGGCCTTCCACAGCTTTCCTGCCTTGGGAACTGTGCCTACTGCTAAGGGCCGAGATAAGTCTGGGCACCCTACCCTGCTGAGTCATGTTGAGTTGGTATAGCCTTATGACTGCAGGGACTGCCAAGAGTGCTGCAGGCAACAGCGGCAGCAAGAGTGCTTGGGCTGTCCTACAGTACAGCCTGAGAAGGCCACAGATGGTCAGCCCATGGGTGTCTTTTCTGGAAAGAATCATGAAGCAGTCTGTACTCACTGACAGCACTTCCCAGTCTGTTGGGCTCACCTACTTCTGTATGGAGGGCAGAGCCACTGTGCGCTTGCCTGGGGTACCTTGTTGTGACTGTGAAGTAGTCTTTGTGGCTGATGGAAAGCTGCCCTAAGAAGGCTTCATAACCTTGGGTGTTGATGAGTGGTGAGCCTTTAAAGGTGGACTTCAAAGAGAGGTAATAATCTCACCCCTGGGCATCATGCAGCTGGAGAAACCCCAGAAGTGAATACCTCAGTGATGCTGGAAAGACTTGTGGTGCGACCTCCTGAGCATCCCTTGCTGTTGCTGTGATTCCCACACCACCAATGTGAAAGGTCCCACTAAGAGAAGAGTCAGAAGTGAGCTGACCATGCTGTGGGCATGAGGCCCTCAAGGACATGTGCAGCTACTGCAAGATGGGTACCAGCTCCTGCTGGGGGACTCAGGGTCTTTTTCTCAGCAAACCTCACCAGTTACCATCCCAGGCTAGAGAGCAAGACCCTCCTGATGTTCCTATTCCCCTCCTCCAGAGCTGCTGGCTGATGGGGGTAGATCGGTTGAACCATAGACAGAAGGAAAGTGCTCTGGGTGGGAGACCTACAGCTCTACAGTATGATGACATAAAGAGGAAATAATCTCTTAGCCCACAGCTTCGCAGTTTTTAATTCATGTGCTTTCAACCCACATTGCTGCTCTGGGGTTGGCCCCTTACATGTTCCCCAGAGAGCATTCAGTAGCAATCCTGTATCCAAACCCTGGATGTACCCTTCAGTCACAGAATCATAGAATGCTTTGGGTTGGAAGGGACCTTTAGAGATCATCTAGCCCAACCCCCCCTGCAGTTAGTCCATAAGAGCTACTCCAGGAAGCTGGACTATGGAGCTGTGCAGAGTATTCTCATC